CCATAAAATTGATATTAGTCTGATAAGAAAAAATGTTAAAGTAGGCTCTGTGACAGAATTAGTGTCATTTAATATATCCAGTATAACCAGGGATAGAATTAGAATGGTGGTTATTATGCCACGGAGTCGGTTCCAACTCATAGCAACCTTGTACTGGGTGTCTGAGGCTGTAAATTTTTACAGGAGCAGAAAGCCTCATCTTTCTCGAATGGAACAGCTGGTAGTTTTGAACTGGTGACCTTGAGGTTCATAGCCCAATTCATGACCACTATGTTTCCAGAGCTCCTTAGAATTAGAATTTTTTGTTGTTGTTGTTAAGTGCCATTGAGTCAGTACTGACTCATAGCAATCCTATGCACAACAGAATGAAACACTGCCCAATCCTGGGCCTACCTCACAATTGTTGCCATACTTGAGCCCATTGATGCTGCCACTTAGCCAATCTATCTCGCTAGAGGTCTTCCTCTTTTTCTCTGACCCTCCACCTTACCAAATATGATATCTTTCTCCAGCGACTCGTCCCTTTTGACAATATGTCCGAAGTACGAGAGACGGATTTTGTCCATCCTGACCCCGAGGAGCATTCTGGCTACACTTCTTCCAACACAGATCTGTTGGTTCTTTTGGCAGCCCATGGCACTCTCAATATTCTCCACCAACACCATAACGCAAAAGCATCAATTCTTCTGTGGTCTTTGAATAGATATAATTAAATCTTGGAGTTTTTAATGGGGTTTATAAACTTGTTTTATGTTTAAAATGAATGAAGTATCATTGCAAACACAGCCACATGATTGCATTTTGAAGAACATACAGATATGTAGATTCAGTGAGTTTTAGAAGTCTTTTCAAGTCACACAGAAACGTTTTGAGTAGAAGAAAATATTCCTTGTGTAAATTAGGCATGTATTGTTATTTGTTAAAGTGAAATTGAACAAGTCAGTTGTGAAAGTGATACTACCATTCCAGGTAAGCAGGACATAGCAGTGTTTTAGCACTGGGAATAAACAGGTACACAGAAATGGGAGGTGACAGGAAACATCTGCCTTTGAGGGAATTGCAAATCTCAGGAAATGGAACAAGTGGCAGATTTGAGTTGATGAATGATATATAAAATGTGTTATGTCAGAGACAACCTTTGTTGCCATAGATATCTGTTTTGATTTTGAATTATTTGAACTGTTACCCAGAATAGGTAGGGAAAGCATGGCTTATGCAAAACATTTTCCAGAAGTAATTTAAATGAGCATGTGGTTCAGATTATGGCAAGGGAGTATTGTCACCACTTCCTTTGTTTTTAGTGACAAACAATTTAATAAATGATCAGAACCTTGTATCATATATGTGTGTGTATACAAAGTGGAAAGATGAATTAAGCCCTGTATTTGGAAAAAACAAGAGTTATAGGCATACTCATTTTTTTCAATAAATTCTGTATATTATGCATGTTTTACATGCTGATTGGTAGGCAGTGGGCTGCTAATTACAAGGTCGGCAGTTCAAACCCATGGGCTTCTGCATAGGAAAAAGATGAGTTAGACTGCTCCCTAAAAATTTATAGTTTACAGTCTTGGAAACCTTATATAGGGTCTCTATGAATTGGAATTGACTTGACAGCAGTGGGTTTGGTTTGGATGTGCCAAATACTATATTTAACTTGCTACTGATGAATGATTCACTCACTTTATTTTACATCTATAGGCTCATTCTTCTTTTTCATCTCTCATCACAGATGATATGAGAAGTGATCTTGGTGATCAATAATTAACAAAAATCTGTCTATTTCATAGTACGTAAATAAGCAGCCAAATTCTGAATTAGTGTTTCAGTTTTATCATAAGTATTGTCTTATATGGAATCTTAGCTATGGGTTTCATATATAGACAAATAAGTTTATTGCAAAAGCAACTTAGAAGCGAGGATGGTGAGACTTTGTTACATATATTTTGGACATGTCATCAGGAGAGACCAGTCCCTGGAAAAGGACATTATGTTTTGTAAAGTAGAGAGTCATCAAGAAAGAAGAAGACTCTCAATGATATGGATTGACACCGGGGCTTCAATAATGGATTCAAGCATAGCAATGAGTGTGGGGATGGGACAGGACCAGAAAGTACTCCGTTCCATTGTACATATGATGATATGAATTGGAACCAACTCAATGGTACCTAACAACAGCATTTTATGTGTTGCTTATTCCAACACATAAATTAACTACTACACTTAGTAGTGTATTTCACATCCCTGGTGTCATGTTAATCCTATAGAACTTGAAGCATAGCACCATTAGTTTTGAAACTTTAAAAAAATAATAATTTTTGAGATAAGAGTTATTACTTCATTCCTTCCTAAGATATTTTGTTGTTATAGAGATCATTTTCACACATATATTTATGAGATCTTGACAAATCAAGGTTATGCATGTTTTTTCTCCTTTACCCTGAGACAGTTGACAACAAGATGGCTTTTTACATTTTTATTCATCAAACTTTTGTTGTTATTGTTGATAAAGGCTGTCAAGTCTTTTCTGACTCATAGAGACCATGTATAGGATTTCTAACAAGTGGCAAGTTTGAACAGCCCACTTTTCTGTTAACAAGCCAGTGCGTATACTAAATGCCATACCACCAAACATTTACTGAGTTCTTTTAGGATTAAGTGACACTTGGCATACAGACACACTGACAAAAATCTTATCTAGTTTATAATCTGGGAAAATGGCTAAAAATGCTATGCAAGTTAGAGTCATTTTTATGAAATAATAACATCAGTACAAGTTTTAACTAACAGTTTCATGATTTAGCCATCCTTATTTTTGTGTTATGTTTCAAAACAGGAATATACTTAATGAGAACTCAGCTTTGATATGGACCACATTGATGTTTCATATCCTCTATAGTCATGATTAGATCATTTCCAGTCTAAAAATACTGTTCATATGAGTGAAAATACAAAACATTTACCATGTTTCACTTAAGACCTGGCTGTGTACAAACAGCTTAGAGTACTTTGAGCTAAAGTGTGGGAAGAAACTATTTGAAGAAGTTCCCATAGCTTTTGCATAATTGTTTAAGATATACATTGACTGACATTTTAATACTTTTCTGTTATTTGTTGTTAAGTGCCATCAAGTCTGTTCCGACCCATATCAGTGCTGCGTAGGGTTTGTAAGGAGCAATTGGTGGGTTTGAACCGCCGACGTTATGATTCAAACTGACTTTGCAGTACATTATCCTGCAGTGTCATACCAGGACTCCTTTCAGTATATATAACAACAATTAATAATTTATAAACATATAAATGTTTAAAACTAGGTGCTGTGATATCAATTCTCTAGCCAAAATATAACTCCAGGAATGTAAACTATAATACTAAATATTTAAGTCAGAGCAAAGGATCTAGTAGCCAATACATTTTGTTGTTGCTATGTGCCGTCAAGTCAATCCCGACCCATAGTGACCCTGTGTAGGGTTTCCAAGGAGGAGCTGGTGAGCTTGAACCACCAACCTTGCAATTCAAATGGCTTTGCAATCTGTCGCATTAACCCACAGCACTACACCATAGCACACTGAATTCTCTAACTTCGGAAAAGAAATAAAGAAACTGTTTTTTACCGTAGATTTAGAAGGAGATAATATCAGTCAGTTGTTGACAGTAGCATTCGAGAGAAAGGAGAGTATGGATGGAATAAGAATAGGAGTGAGACCAGTTATTCTGTCATTTTACCACAAGCTCAGCAGTTTGAGTCCACTAGCTTTCTGTTCCTGTGAAGATTTGCAGCCTCGGAAATCTTATACAAAGTCACTTATGAGTGGATTTCTGGCACAGCACTATAGGATAAGCATTAGAGTGTGAACCACAAGGTCAGCAATTCAAACTCACAGCTGTTCCTCAGAGTTGCCATGAATTGGAACCGACTCGACAGCATTTAATAATAACAATATGAGTTGGAACCAATTCTCCAGTGCACAGCCAGCCAACCATCCTACCTTCCCATTCCCCGTTCTTTGCAATCACTACTAAGATAACATTTGCTTTTAAAATATATTGTTGTTGTTAAGTGCCATGGAGGTGGTTCCAATTCATAGAGATCCTGTATAGGGTTTCCAAAAATGGCTGCTGGGTTTGAATCATAAACCTTGCAGTTACCAAGTTATCCTATGGTGCCACACCAGCACTACTGCTGAGTTTGAACCACCAACCTTGAAGTTACCAGTCCAGTACTTATCCTACAGTGCCACACTGTCATTGTCATCCCTGAAGCTAATATAAACAGAGTGTTTTTGTTTGTTTGTTTTTTTATTGAAGGAAATGTACAAAGTCACACTTTCATTGCCCTAATGCATAGGCTAGCATATTGTTTTACATTATTTAAAGATGGTTTGTGTTAAGTGCCATCAAACTGTGACTCTGTATAGGGCGTCCAAGGAAAGGCTGGTAAATTTGAACTGCTTACCTTATTGTTCAAACTGACCTTGTGGTCCAGTGCTTTATCCTACAGCTCCACACCAGGACTTCATTTAAAGATTGTTATTGTTGTTGTTATGTGCTGTGGAGTTGGCTCCGACTCATAGCGAACCCTGTACAGGGTTTCCGAGGCTGTAAATCTTTACGGGAGTAGAAAGCCTCATCTTTCTCCGGAAGAACAGCTGGTAGTTTCGAACTGCTGACCTTGTGGTTCACAGCCCGATTCGTAACCACTACACTACCAGAGCTCCTGTATTAAGCATTGATAATTAAGTAAATTTAGTGGACTAAAATATATCAACAATCAGGAAGATGGACAGGACCAGGTAACATTTGGTTCTGGTATACATAAGGTCACGATGAGGTAGAGCTGACTCGTCAGTAACTGGTAACAATTATGTAAAATCTCGTGGTATTCCACAGTGAACCAACCAGAAAACATTATTTCTGAATGAAATAGTTAAAAATGACAACATGTATACCATACTTAATCATTTTCAAAGTTACACAGTGTTGGCTTTGTTTCACAACAGGCGGTTGCAGCAGCATCGGCCGCTTCAAGAGATTTCAGTGGCATAGGTGGCTTAGGAGAGCTCTTAGAAAGTTCTTCAGAAGCATCCAAGTTAAGCTCCAAAAGTGCTAAGGAATGGAGAAACCGAAGAAAGAAACGAAGACAGAGAGAGCATCTTGAAGGAAACAACAAAAGAGAGGGAGACAGGTTTCCTAAATCTGAATCGGAAGACAGTGGCCAAAGAAAAAGTTTCCTTTTTTCCATGGATGGAAACCGATTGAGTAGTGAGAAGAAATTCTGCTCCCCTCATCAGGTATGACTTCATGGGATTGCTATGGTTTCCTTTGTTGTTACTATTGCTTTTGTAATTGCTTTATTTTGTTTTGTTATATTTTTGCAAAATCTACTGTAAGTGATGGACAGGAAACTAAACTTAATGTAGCTGTTTATATTCTTAACATAAGCTGTATTTAATGGGGGTTTTCATTAAAGCATAAACTTAGTTTAAGGTAATCAGCTTTGAATATTTCACTGTTTTGAGACAGTGTTTCTTAATTTGCATTATTATTTTGATGCAGTTCATTAGCTTTTCTCTTCACTGAGACTGTTTTGCAATGTTCATTTCCATCTTAAGACCTCAGGTGAACTTATCATTTTTGTTTGTGGGTTTCTGCCTTTATTATCTGCTATTGTGATTGTAATGTATGCATGCATTTTGAAACAAAATGTCTCTTTGAGTTTTGCCTTAACCCCTTGGTAGGAGAACTGTACTGTCATGAATCCATCATAGTGATATGGTGTCATGCTATGACACATTAAAGTGAAATTATGATCTAAGTTTTCTAGAAGAGAATGCAGTTGAAGGAAGTCTATTTTTGCTCTGATTTAATGCCAGCTACCCATTCCTTGAACATATTTCAACTCTAATAGGAAAAATTAGCCTTAACTATCTGGTGCTAAGAAGAATCGTTTTATGGGTTATGTAGTTAAAGCATGTAAACACTGGATAATGAATAAGGAAGACCAAAGAAGAATTGATGAATTATGGTGTTGGCAGAGAATATTGAATATGTCCCTTGGACTACCAGAAGAATGAACAAATCCGTCTTTAAAGAAGTAAAGTCAGAATGCTTCTTAGAAGTGATGATGGCGAGGTTTCATCTCACATACTTTGGCCATGTTATCAGGAGGGATCAGTCTCTGGAGAAAAATATCGTGCTTGGTAAAGCAGAGGGTCAGTTAAAAAGAGGAAAACCCTTAATGAGATGGATTGAACCAGTGACTGGAACACTGGACTCAAATAGTAACAATTATGAGGATGGCACAGGGTCTGCAGTGATGTTTCATTCTGTTGTACATAGAGTAGCTATGCATTGGGACCAATCTCATGACACCTAGCAATAACATCGTAATGTAAATTGTGAATATAAAGGTGTGATATATAGTGTTATGGATTTCAACATTCTACATAGTTCCCTTAGAATTTCTATCTCTTATAAATTATTAACTTCTAATGAAATTAATCTGAACCAGAGTACACCCTAAAAGTAATGCTTTGAGGTTACACTGCGTTAATAATAATTTAAACAAAAAACTGGAAAGCAACTAACATGTATAATACTCTTTTTATAAAGCACAGATTCAAAAAAAAAATTCAAAAGTGATAAACTCAAAATTCAGTGGTGTTTACCGTTTATTTGGGAGAATTGGATATGATGTTATCAGTGGCTGTTTATTTTATTATGTATACTGAAAATTAAAATCTTGAAAAACAGATATAGAATTTATATTAATAACTTAATCCTTGAATTCTCATGTTAGATAAAATAGACATGCACATACAGGTAAAAGCTTTTCCTGTAGATAGTTTCACTATCAAGCAATTCAACTACCACTATCGTAAGTAATAAAATATCTTGAATAAAATGTGGTATTGAATCTGCCAGACATACTTGGATACTTGGAATTCACTTGAAGCAGTATAAAGCAACTCAGTTGGTCAGACTAGATTTTCTTTTCTTTTCTTTTCTTATTTTTGGTTCAAACGTTCATTCTTGATATTTCTTCATAATTCATATTAGGAGTCAATAGAATTAGGAGTATTGACATTACACATGATGATTAATTTCATGAAAATGTGTGCTCTTATCTCAACTTCAAAAGATCTCTGTGACCTTAGTCAAGTTGTTCATACTTTGTAATGTTTTTGAGAAATGAGAAGTTTGTTGTTATTAGGTGCCATTCAATCAGTTCCAATAGTGGCTCTGGGAGCTCTGGAGTCATAGTGGTTACGAATCGGACTGCAAACCTCAAGGTCAGCAGTTCGAAACTACCAGCTGTTACAGCCTCGGAAGCCCTGTACGGGGCCACTATGAGTCGGAATCGACTCCATGGCACAGAACCACCATGTACAGTAGAACAAAACACTGCCTGGTCGTGTGCCATCTCTATAATCATTGCTGTGTTTGAACCTACTGCTGTAGCCACTGTATTAGTCCTTCTCATTGAGGGCATTTCTCTTTCTCACTCACCTTCTACTTTATCAAACATGATGTCCTTCTCCAGGAACTGGTCCTCCAGATAACATAGCCTTAGTATGTATAAGTCTCTACATTTTTGCTTAGAAGGAGCATTCTGGCTTTACCTTTTCCAAGACAGATTTGTTCATTCTTCTGAAAGTGCATGGTATGTTTAATATTCTTTACCAACACCATAATCAAAAGGCATCAATCCTCCTCAGTCTTCCCTATTCATTGTCTAGCTTTCACATACATAGGAACTGATTTAATATACCATGAATTGGGTCACATTAGTCTTTAAAGTGACATCTTTGCTTTTTAACACTCTAAGAAGGTCTTCTGAAGCAGATTTGCCCAATTCAATACATCATTTGATTTCTTGCTGCTGTTTCCAGGAGCACCGATTGTATATGCAAGTAAAATGAAACTCAATAACTTCAATCTCATCTCCATTTATCATGAGGTTGCTTATCAGTCCAATTGTGAGGATTTTTGTTTTCACTATGTTGAGCTATAAGTCATACTGAAGGCTGTAGTCTTTTATCTTCATCAGTAAATGCTGCAAATCTTTGCTTTCAATAAGAAATTGTGATGTTGTTGTTAAGTGCTGTTGAGTTAGTTCCAACTCATGGTGACCCTTTATAGGATTTCCAAGGAGCAACTGATGAGTTTTAATCACTGACCAAGTGTTTATCACTCCAGTGCTTATCTTACAGTGCCACACCAGGAGTTCAAGAAATGGTAATACCTAAATAAGAGAGTTTGAGGGAGTAATTGAATGATATATCCATGGATAAATTCCATTATCTTTTCATTTAATTGTTCCATTAACTTTTTGAGAAAGACAATATGCAAATTAAGGAGCCCTAGTGGCACAGTGGGTTAAACATTGGGCTACTAATTGAAAGGTCAGCAGTTCAGACCTACCCCCCACTCCATGGAAGAAATATGAGGAAACACTATGGAGCAGTTCTACTCCACCCTAGAGAGCCACTATGAACAGGATTGACTCATTGGTAGTGGGTTGGGTTGGGTTTTGGTTATAAGACAGTAAACTTCTTATTGGGTTTCTGGTGTGGTTCTGTAGAGTAAGCACTTAATTCCAAGGTCAGCAGTTCAAATCCAGCTGCTCCTTGGAACCACTACATAGGGTCACAATCAGTTAGAACTTACTTGGCCTTTACTAACAACAACAAACTTCTTGTTAAGTTAGAATGGGCAAGTGAGTCTCCAGTAAGGAAAATGAGAAACCTTTAGTGGTTTCTGTTACTCATAGACGTATACGCATATGTAGCAATATTTTCATGAACATATTTACAAGTTTTTGAAATTGAAATTATTTTTATTGTTGTTGTGTTCAAATAAAACTCTGTGGACTAGTTTGTTCAGTGAAGCCAATATTTATTCATCATTTACTATATGGCAGGAACACATGTATATGATGAGAATGGCTCAAAGAACAAAAGGAATACGTTCTCTCACTTCATGCCACTTTTAGTCTACAGGAGGAGATGGGCAGTAAACAAATGAGTTTAGGGTATGTTAGAAGTCTATCCAAATACCCACGCCCACTGCTGCTTAGTCATTTCCAATTCATTGGTGGTTGGTGGTGATGTGTCGTGGAGTTGGTTCCGACTCATAGCGACCCTGCACAGGGTTTCCAAGGCTGTAAATCTTTACAGGAACAGAAAGCCTCATCATTCTCCCATGGAACAGCTGGTAGTTTCGAATTTCTGACCTTAAGGTTCGCAACCTAATTTGTAACCACTATACTACCAGAGCTCCTTTTGTTGTTATTGTGAAGTGCTGTTGAGTTGATTCTGACCCATAGCGACCCTGTATGGGGTTTCTGAGGAGCAGCTGGTGAGCTTGAACCACCAACCTTGCAGTTCAAATGGCTTTGCAGTCTGG